CTCTCTGTCAAAACTTCTTCTGCAACTATGCCTACATCAACTCTATCTCCTTAAAAGGCCCTCCTCATCCATAGTCAATCACCAATCAAAACAAAAAAAGGTTGCAATCTGACATTTAAGAGATTACCATATAGCTGCACACTCTGCCTTTATGTGAAGCTGCATACATGAACAGAGAACATAGAAGTTGAAGACCATATGTTTGTGCCATTTGCTAAAGGAAACCTTTTGTATTTGTAAAATCTAATCTTTAAATATATGGGAGAATAACAATATTTAAGTCACACATGAAAGTTCTGATGGAAAATTACAACTAGTTGAACTATCCTGTTGTTCCAGGCCTTGCATATATTTCACAATGGCATTGCGGAAATCACCAATAAGATGGACATTGTGAGCTACAGGAATTTCACAACATTGATTTCTCATTTACAGGTTGTGGTTCTCAATAAATTACAACAAACTGCAGTTTGTCTTGATTGATTGTGAGCCTCCATCCCCACTTGCAGAGTTCATAGAATATAATTTAATCCTGTGTTATTTCAGAATCTGCAGAATACACTACTCAAAACAGATAAGCCCTACAAGGTAGTATGTCACAAAGCTATGTAGCTGTTGAACTTTAAGTTAATCATGCTCCTCCTCAATAAACCATTTAGCCACGAAAAATTAGAGGTACAATTTGCCATTTTTCACCTCAGTGGGATTCCTTCCAAAATCTTCTCTTTTCATCTGAGTTCTTGCTAGCTCACCTGCTCACGAAAATGAAAGAAATAATCATCGCATGTTTTCAGATCTGGAGACAAATTAGTGAGAACACAAGGGGATCCATTTGCAAGAGAACATATCATGTTCCAAATGTTACAGAAGGTGATTTTCGGAAATTTAACATAAACGCAAAATAGATGTCATTCCTGAACTAGAAAGCATGTTTCTTGTTCCCTTGTGATCCTCTTGGTGGGAGAGCTTTCCTGCAACAATACAGCAATAGGAACATGGATAAGCACAATGGAGCACAATTCCCATATTATATTATGATGGTGTTGGCCATCATTGATGAATGATATCTGACCATAGTACATGTTTAGCATCCAAAATCAGAGACACATTAACATTGAAAAGTCTGAGGCTCCAGACAAGTAAATTTGCACCAGAAAACAGCAAATATGGTGTCAACCAAAGAAAATCAAGTGCTTTGTTCATATTTCTCAATGAAAAAGCTGTTTGTTTGAAGGCCATTCCAGAAAAACTTGCATCTTAATACCTTCAGAAGTCCCTTGGCAGTACCGTTATCCAATGGACCATGTGCCACTTATGGTTAGCATAAATTTTTTGAGTATGCAAAAGATTGTGGGAAAAGGCACCTAAAGAAGTAGAATTATCATTTCATCTTAGGAACAATAAAGTTCAATTATTGTTTAATAGCCTAAGAGAAGATTCAAACTATCTGGATTCATTATATAGCAAAGCAAAAGGTCAAGCAATATCTAACAAGTCAACTAGTTGTTGGTGAAAAAGTTAATTCAACCATTAGTTCTTGCATATAAAAATATGATTTAGAGTATTGAAAGCAATGAGTTTGAGAAAGTTTAGGTTGAATCTGTAGCTACCTGCATGGAGCCACATGCCATAATTGGCCTAATCTCGCTCCAAATCGTGATATGGACATTCTCACCACTGGATCTGTAAACTCTCTTATTGCTGCTTCCTGTAATGCAAACAGGAATTCCATCTGTGCTTTTGTAGTAAGAAAAAGGTGCCTTGGTTCGTTAGCCATGCTCAAATCAACAACCTACAAAGCATTGAGAAAGAGAATGTTACTTGGACCAATTGCATTATGTGAATTACAAACAAATTAAACACAAAAATCACTCAGGCTACTTCATAGACTTCATATGTATCAGCTGATAAGCAAAGTGATGCAATCGTGGATGGATAACTTGCCTGTTGCAACCATGGAATTGCGAATTCCAGAAATCTTTGATCAACAAATTTTGTGGCCATAATGGTAAGTACTTCATCAGTTGTCTCACATGACAATCTATCAAGAACAGGACCAGTTCTATCCATAAGCTGGACCAGACTAAGATCATCCCCAGAAAGGATGGCCTCCACATATGCTGACTCCACATTCCCCATGCTAAGAAACTCCTTGACTTGTTTCCAAAATCCAGTCACATCTTTGAAGTTACTAAGCCTGGCACTTGCATTTTTCGGATCTTTTTCTTGACTTCTTACACATCGAAGGCTTCTTCCTGAATTATTATTCATGCTGTCGCCTGTTGGGTTTTTTGGTACTCCAAGTGTTGAATCTTTCTCTACTCCCTCTTTGACTGATGTGCTTGATCTACTAAATGAAGCCAGATTATCCCCCCAAATCTCCATGCTTTTTGAAGATAGTGTTGATTGTTGCTTGTAGTTATCACCCACCAATGGCCTAGGTGTGACTGCAGAAAGCTTAGGGGAAGAAGAACCTGGTTGTACTTTCTTTAAAATTTTCGAGCAACCCATGCTAGAATAATTTTCACATTCCACAACGGAATATGTAATTGTATCTACAGCATGCTCCAAGTCATTCACCTTTGACTGTAGTTTTGAGACATTATCCATTGAGCTTCTCATGAACACCTGAAAGATGGCAGATCCAATATGTTAGCATGTATACATAAAAATATCACATGGGCATAAAATTGAACAATTGTAATTCAACAGCACATCAAGGGCCTAGAATTGGCTATTGTCAAAATGATTATGACAAATTGGTCCATGCACACTGGATCAGAGTCTGAAAGTTTACCAACATTATGGTCTAGTTAATTCCAATTATCAGAAGTTGTGAAAAACACTATACTTACGGGAGCCTTGTGCAGTAGGCTGATTTTAACTAAACTTTTAAAATTGAATATGTAATGCAAAAGTAGAACTGAAAATCCACGTAATTAGCAATATCAAGGAAAGCTTACAAGCAACAACACTATTAAAAACAAAGTAATTGCCTATACCTGACTTATTTTCTATAGCAAATAGTTAATTTCAAGGACAAAACTATTTAATATGCTATATATTCATTCCTAATCCAAGGTTCAATCAATACATACCTCTTAGCAATTAAAGATGAAAACAAAAAAGGTCTTAGAGAATTGTTGGAAGATATAACAAATTTTGAAGCTCAAGTACATTATGATGCATACACAAGACAAATTACCTGTAAGAGATCCAGCAAGTTTGATTGTTTGGTTTCAATTTGTAAGAGTTGTTGTTTGATGATTGCCAGTTCATTTGCAGCATGCAGACAACATCCATGCATACTGTGTGAACACAAGTCTGTAACAGTGGAGTCCAAACTCTTCCGCTCCTGAGTCCGAAGGCATTCAGGTCCACTGTCCTCAATGACAGAATTGTTGCGTCCTGTAATATTTGTTGAATCATTATCCCTAGGACCATCATTAGATGCAGTTGCATGCTTTATCTCATAGCTGCCACTAGCTAAATCTGATACAGAGGAGTAATCTGGCTTGTGATCTGGGCTGTAACCAAAATTTATGTCTTCAACCCCAGCTGTATTTACCACCCTTCTTTCAAAAGCACTGCTTGCACAACTCCTCTCAGATTCTCTACAATCGGTAGCAATTAGTGGCATGGCACGAGACTTCGGGACTGATATCTCAATGTGCCAATCACTTGGCTTCAGGTGCTGATGAGTAGGTGCATTATTTGTACATAGTTTCCTGGCAGATAAAGGAGCTCTTTTCTGTGTAGAACAGGTGGAGCTGCCACTTGGACAAGGAACAGGGCCTATTTTCCTAACAAATGTGTCTCTCCATCCACTATCACTAGCACTAGTGACATCATTCAAGTCTCCACCAAAATTTTCTGTTGTGTGCATATAAAACACTAGAATCAGTAGCAATGATCTGACAACGCAAATTTAGATGTTATATGTAAGTGCTCATGCATCCTAAAGAAAAAATTGCTAAGATATGAGAAAGGCACATCAGAAATGGCAATCATTAGAGCAAGAAGTTGTAGGAATCATGTTGGTTGATAAGAGATAAATGCAGACAAGCATACCCAGAAGAACTCAGGTAGCACAGTCAGTACATAAGAACTCAGGAGACAGCAATCAACATGAGAAGTTTTGAACTCCTAATTCTTGATATGAAGTATTAAGAAATATCTGTCGATTTCACACAGTAAAAATCTTTAACACATTTCAATTAGTACTATTTATTCTTGTCCAGAAAGAAGTCTACAATTGAATTTTCAGTATGTGTCAACAGAAAGAGGATTTCAACCAATTAGTGCAGATGAAGAAATAGTAAACCACTAGGCTAAAGAAATCAAAAGCATCATATATCGTGGCATGAAAGGCACTTAATGAGGTTCTTAGAAGCAGTTGTGCACTAGAACCTTTTGTGGATGATCCAACTTCTGAAGGTTCAGGAGAACCAGTCCCCGGAAGAGCTCTCCAACACTGTATAGCATGCAAGATAGAGTCCCTCACAGGTTTCACCTACAAAAGAAAAGTTTGATTACATGTACACAAACCAAATATTCGGTTCATCTCAAACCAGTAAGCAGGAACCAACCTTGTCAAATCGGCAGGATTCAAGTGAACGGATGCAAGTACTTTTCAATGGTGCCATAGAAGATCCAGGGTTTACAGCAATACCAGCCAACGCCACAGATGCAGCTTTGCGTGTTGCCCAATCATTACTTTTGAGGGCTTCCAGAATGCTGTTAACTGCTGCAGACAAAGCATGCTCGGCCAGAGCACATCCTGCCTGGTAGCATAAGGTGGGAAACATTCATGTCAAACAAATGAACAGAGCAAGAAAAGTATTCTGGAAGATATACCACTAGACGGTAAAGCAAGGAACTGGAGAAGAAAGAAGAATATGCCACTTCATAAAACTAATACTAGCACTGGACTAAATCTATCCCTTTTACATTGAGAATTGCACTTAATTGTAAGAATTCACAGTACTGGATGTAAAAATGGATCTTTTAGCAAGTCATTCCCATAAATCAAAATATCTCATCTCACAGGAACAATTAGGTGATTCCCAAAATCTGTTGAACTTTAGAAGTCAGTTCCAGTGCATCAAAATGATCATATTAAGAAGAACAATATCAATTACTCCTATCAACCATTAGAAGGTTATGGAACAAAATCCTGACATCCAATGGATCTAGCTGCGCACTTTTTGATCTATGGAGGAATTCATTTCCTCCAGACTTAGATCTCTTGGTTCGCACTGATGCGAATAGGATTATTTCCTATTTGCACAAAAAAAAAGTTCTTCTACTTTACCTAATACAAACTTCATCGTAACACTTGATAGAATGAAATGGCATTTTAGGAAACATCATCAAATGTGATGGAAGTACCAATTCACATTCTCTAAGCAGCCATAAGGAGAAGAACCAAAACTTGAACTGCACAAATCCCATTCACTAAGGTAAACAATTTAAACCTGTATGATGCTTCGGATCAACTCGATGATGGCCGGCTTCGCCATGAAGTGCTGATTCTTCAACAACTTGATAACACGCGCGAGCATCTGAGGCAGAATGGATTGCGGAGTGTCGCTGGCCTCGTCGATAACCCTCGCCAAGCACAACGCCGCGCCCACCTGCACATACCGGTTCTGCTCCCCCAGCGCTTCGAAAAGCGGCCTGGCCAGCGCCACGAACGTCGCCCCGCCACCGTCCCTTACGCTGCTCGCCAGAACGCCGCACGTCTCGACGCAGGCGTCCCGCACGACCGAGTCCGTGTCCTTGAGCCTCTTGACGATGGAACCGACCATCTTCCCGAGATGAATAGCCAAGAGACCGCCGTGGGACCGCGCCAAAGCGCCCATCACCCGCACGCACTCCCTGCGGACGCCGCTCTTCTGGTCGGCGTCGGTCTCGGCGACGCACGACAGGAACGGGGAGACCATGTCGGGGGCCAGGCCCTCGGCGGCCCGCTCGAGCTCCTCGACGCCGATCCGGTGCGTGTCGCGGTCAGCGAGCTTGTTCAGCGCAAGGACCACCCGCTGCTTCATCTCGAAGATGGCCTGCTGTGCCGTTGGCATCTTCCCCCCGCCGGGCCTGGTCTTGGCCTTGGGATGCGCCGCAGCGGACCTCATCGCCATGAATCCAGTTCACAGTAGACTTGGACTCCCGATCCTGGCGACAAATCTCAGCACCGAGAGGCCATCGGAACAGGTAAATGGAACGAGAAGAAAGAGGGAGTAATGATGCATGAGACATCAACCATCTTTACTCAGAACTCTTCGCTGCAAAAGGCAAAAGAGAAAAGGAAGACGGGAATGCAACAAGAGGAGCGAGTTATGATCAATTCCAAGGAGGAGGCGATGCGGAATCGGAGAGAGAGAGAGAGAATTCGAATTGGCCCATCTTAAGATAAGCGCAGACATCGAGAGAAACAAAAGCTTGACGGGATGGCAGTGAGGGAGAGAGAATGAAGTGTAGGGAATATCGAGAAACATATTTACCCGGACAATTTACCTGCTTTTTCTTTAGAAAAAAGGCTATGGAATCGTGTGAAACGATCATGGGGCCACCATTTTTTGCCAATAGAAAATTTGGTATAAAACTGGGTAACGAACTTAAGAGTTTAGAAAGTTATTGCTCGTGAACATTTTCGCGCTTTTGGGCTGCGTCGATTCGAAATTCCAAATGCGGAAGCACGGGGGAGCAGTAGTCGGAATCGTTCGAGTACGCGTTCGCATGCGCCACATGCAAAGAGGGAGCGATTAGCCAAGTTGTAATTGGCTGAATAGGTGGCCCCACTCGAATTGTTTTGCGTGGCCGCTTTGTATTCGACGAACGTTTAGTTAAGTGATTCAGGGTGCGTTTTTACCAGACGGGGGACGCCGGAGACCGCGACAGGTACGGTCACGTGGGCGCGGCGTGGAGTGGATGCAGTAGGCTTGTTATTTATGGTTACCTTCGTCCTATAGACCCGCTTTTTTACCTTTCTTACTATTTGGACCTTTGACGTGGTGGCCCCCTGGTGCCTCCAGTGACACACGACCGTACATGGCCTGATTGGATCGGGTTTGGGTTCGAGTTTGGATTCGGATGGTTAGCCGTGTTGCTTTCCGTCAATATTACCAGCCCAGCAAAGACACGCGTGAATCGGAGAAGCGGCAGACCTCCAGGTCAACACCCCCTTGTTTTACGCGGGGCCTATGTGCTATTAATGGGTCCCAACACGCCCTGCCAATTAGAGAGTGTTGACCGCGGGTCCAGCCACGGACATCTCTGTGAACAGCTCAAACCAGCCTCTCCTACCCACAACCATGTCCTCAAAACCCCCAGCAATCCACCCACCCCAATCCGCACCGTCTCAAGTTCGACGTCCAGATAGCCCGGGTGCCGCAGCCATGGCGGATTCATGGCCTCTGCAGCTCCTCACGTTCCTCTTGTCCTTCACGCTGTGGGGATACTCCGTGGCCATGTCGGACGACGGCCGCGTCCTACTCCAGTTCAGGGCGACGCTGTCCTCCGGCGGAGGCGACGCTGCTCTTTCCAGCTGGGCCGGCGGCAAGGGACCATGCATGGACCAGAACGTCTCCGCGTGGACCGGCGTCTACTGCGAGAATGGGAATGTGTCGACGCTGCAGCTGGAGAACATGGGCTTGTCGGGCAAGTTGGATCTCGACATCCTCACCGGGTTGCTGGGCCTCCGCTCGCTCAGCTTCAGCAACAACAGCTTCGAGGGACCGGTACCGGACTTCACGAAGTTGCCCGCGTTGAAGTCCATATACCTGTCGATGAACCGGTTCTCCGGTGAGATACCGGACGGCATGTTCTCGGCAATGCGGGCGCTCAAGAAGGTGTGGCTGTCGCACAACAACTTATCCGGGCGGATCCCGAGCTCTTTGACGGTGCCAACCAAGCTCATGGAGGTGGGACTCGATGGCAACAAGTTCGAGGGGAAGCTGCCGGATCTCCGACAGCCGGAGCTGCGCATGGTGAACGTCTCCTACAACAATCTCGAGGGGCCGATCCCGGAGAGGCTCAGCAATATGAGTGCAAGTCTATTCGAAGGTTAGTCTTCGTTTTCTTCCCATATGCATCACAAAACAGATCCTTAGGTAACTCTGTTTCGACTAAACAGGCAACAAGAACCTTTGTGGAGCACCACTCGGGGTCTCATGCACACCATCGAAGAAGCTCGCGCCTGCTCTTCTTGTCGGCATCATACTGATAGCAGTTAAAGTCCTGACGCTACTCATCGGACTGATTGGTTTCCTCCTTCGACGCCGCGCCCCAAAAGGAAAGACTACAACGGACAAGCTTCAACCCGGTAAATCCAAAAGGATCGAGGATTTGGAGGCAGCCAGTGTGGAGAAAGGATCAGCAGATCACGATGGGGAAAAGAAGAAGGTGTCGAAGAAGGAGCAAGGGAAGTTGACGTTCGTTGCGGAGGGAAGGAGGAAGTTCGACATGCAGGATTTGCTCAAGGCTTCAGCCGAAGTCCTTGGCAGCGGAAATTTCGGGTCTTCCTACAAGGCCACCCTGGTCGACGCCCCTGCGGTGGTCGTGAAGAGGTTCAAGGAGATGAATGGTGTGGGAAGGGAAGACTTCCAAGAGCACATGAGGAGGCTGGGGAGGTTGTCGCACTCAAACCTCCTGCCTCTGGTGGCCTACTACTACAGGAAGGAGGAGAAGCTGCTGATAACCGAGTTCGTCCCCAAGGGAAGCTTGGCTCACATGCTGCATGGTAAACGCCATGATCTGAATGCCATCAGAAATCCCAAACTCTTTTCTCGCGAAGTACGATCATAAACTGCCTTGCAACTCCACGTCCAGGAAACCGCGGCTCGACGGAGTCACCGCTCGATTGGCCGACGCGCTTGAACATAGTTAAAGGCGTAGCAAGAGGCCTCGCTTACCTCTACGAGGAGCTCCCGATGCTGACCGTTCCCCATGGCCACTTGAAGTCCTCCAACGTGCTGCTCGACCAGTCACTCGCGCCCCTCCTCGCGGACTACGCCCTCGTGCCGGTGATGAACAAGGCAACCGCTTCCAAGGTCATGGTGGCCTACAAGTCCCCGGAGTGCGCCCGCCATGGCAAGCCTTCCAAGAAGAGCGACGTGTGGTGCTTCGGGATACTAATTCTCGAGATACTAACAGGTGAGTTCCCGGCCAATCATCTGACCCAGGGGAAAGCAGGCGCGGGGGACTTGGCGAGCTGGGTAAGCAGAATCGCCAGTGAAGAACGGGCAAGCCCAGTGTTCGACAAGAACATGAAGGGGACCGAGAACAACGAAGGGGAGATGTTGAAGCTGCTGCAGATAGCAATGGCCTGCTGCGAAACCGATGATGAGAGCAGGTGGGAGCTGATGACAGTGCTGGAAAAGATCGAAGAGATAAAAGGAGAGTGAATGAAGGGTTTTCATGTAAGGCAATGGCTGAGGACGAAGACTCCTCCTCCAAGCAACTGCAGAAGTCGCTGGGGGAAGGCTGTATACAGGAAGTCAACGTGAATCATGCGATTTGAGACATTGGAAGGCAGGTTTTGGGGAATGGTGTTCTTGCAGATACTTCTTGAGAGTGTGGAGTGTGTAAATTGATAGAACTTGATGAAATTGAACATGTTAGCTTAGACTAATGGCTGATTTCCTTCTCCTTCAGTTCTTGATTCATCCATGAAAATATTCATTCTCTTCATAAGATATTTACTAATAAAATTTCATGAATAACTCATTTAAAAATATTCTTTGATATAATAAGTATAAATCAACAAGATAAGCAAATCTCATGTGATACACACCATTCACCTCTATAATGAATAGGTCTGTTGAAAATTTTCTTCTAATTAAAATCATAATTTAACATGTATCCCTTTTTGTCGCGGTTATGAAATAGATAAAATAAATCAACAAAATAATTTTTTAAATCTTATTAAAACTTTTCATAATTTGATTCACTAGTTCATATGAGTATATCGATAGATATCGTAGCATGACATTTTTTTTTTTGAGAAAAAAAAATTTAAGCCAACATAAATAATATTATGTTCCTTCTTATCTCATAAACAACCAATTGTCCTGTGGGGGATTAAACTGATGTGTCTCAAGCCATATACACATGGAAATCTTTGATTCAATCAAAATAATAATAATAATAATAATAATAATTTAAAATTATTTCTAATAATTATGAATTAATTAGGATATAGTGGAGTAATGGACTATAGAACTAATTTGCTAAAGTGCCTAAAGCTATTTTGGGTCAAAGGATGAAATATTTGAACTACCAACCAAATTCTCCATGTTTACAAAATGTAAATATGCAAAACATTTCTTAATTTTTCATTAATGAATGCCTCAGCTACTTGTAACACACCCAATTTAATCTCATATTAAAATAGATAAAATCATTAATTTGAGTTTCAACATTTTAATTAAATGATTCAAGCTCGTTAATTTGACGGGTTACTTATCCATCATAATATCACAGATATAATAATTATATTATTCTCCTCTAATTATGATAAACCATCATTATAATAAATGAAACATAATGATAGTAGTGGAATAGAAAGTTACGATGTGATAGTAACATATATATATATATATATATATATATATATATATATATATATATATATATATATATATATATATATATATATATCCTTTGATGAACTGAATTGCGATGCACTCGGCAAATTTGATCCAAATTTTATAATTATATTTTTAAGGATAAGATTTTGTACAATAATAAGGCTATTCCCTTCCCACATACGAGACTATGATTTGAGTCAAAAATAAAAAATAAAAATTGCTACTCTAACTACTTAGACATAAGATTATTTATTTTAATTCTTTTCATAACTCACATTAGTAGAATATTAGATTAATTATAAATTATGTCATGTAATTAGTTAATTTTAGTATTTTGATAATTATATTTTTAAAAATTATATTATGATCCATATACTTATGAAAGTGAACATTTAATTATGTTTCTTTTCACATTATTAATTTTACTGACAAAAATACTCCACGTGCTAAGTGGCAAATCGAAGTGGCAAATCGAAGTGAGGTAGAGTCAGTATATATTTAATGGTAATCCCAATAAGAATAGCTAAATACTAAATATAACTAATTAAAAAAATCTATAATTAATCATATATTATCATAAAAATAATATAAATAATATGTAAGACTACGACTCTCCCAAAATATGTCACTTTGCTATATAATATATTACGATAATACATGTGTGATTTTATATCTACTATTTTATCTTAAAGTTAAGGTGGGATTTGATTTCAAAATATTACTAACAATAATCTATATCATTACCGATTACATTAATTAATATTTTTTAAAAAAATATTGTATATCTTAATTAACCCTCGGCTTTGTTTGCTGTCATTTTGTTAAGGGAAATGTCCCACGCCACGCAATCGTAACAGTCCAAAACGATGCAGAAGCCGAAACAGCACCAGCCAACTCTGCATGACAGCATGGATACATCACAGTACGTGCATGGCTGCAACAGAAAACTGACAGCCACATCCACGCAGAGCCTCATCTGATATAAAGAAGAGGCATTCAACATATACTCATAGAGAGAGAGAGAGAGAGAGAGAGAGAGAGAGAGGAATTACCAAGAAAAAGAGCATACGCTATCTGCTAGAGAGAGAAAGAGAAGGAACCCAAGGAACGAAGGAACGAAGGAGAGGGGCTGCACTGTGGTGGTAAGCTCTCTCTTCTTTCTGCTGTCCCATGATGCGGCTCATTATCTTGCTCCTGACATGATGGAGAATGGCCGATTCCAAGCAATGCAGAGAGTCATGTCACAGAAAGAGCAGTCGGATGGCCAAGCACGCCAACTGGTAGCAGTGGCCGTCGACAGGGACAAGAGCAGCCACGCTGCCTTCAGATGGGCTCTGGACAATGTTGTCACCAAAGGCCAAACCCTCACCCTCATCCATGTCAACACCAAGTGTAAGCGGACTTGCCCCTGGTTCTCGTTTGATCCAGCCTTGTCTTCATGAAATCTTTGTTGTAACGACTCTCCCTTCTCTTTTTGATGCATTGCAGCGGGGTATGGAGATGATGCAAGGGACGTTTTCGTCCCTTTTCGATGCTTTTGCACAAGAAAGGATGTGAGTCATCTTTGCTTTCATTTTAGAGTTTAACATAGTAAATTTCAATCTAGTGATTACTTCGACCAATCTACTGTTCAATTATTGATGTGAGTACAAGAAAATTAACAGAGGCCATTGAAAGCCATGATCATCTAAGACATAGCAGATTACCTGTTTGAATAATTGTGTCTGAGACTTGGTGATACCTGCTCGGTGATGCATAATGACTCCCTTTTTCGAATGTGGTGACGAATCTGCTGTTCCTTTTCGAGAAGGTGATGAGTTTAGGATCGATGAAGATACCTTGCGGTTACATCCAAAAATTTCAATGTTAAGACCACTTCCATAGCCCCACAAATGATGATGAACCTGCTGGTTCTTTCCTGGCCAGCAATAGAAAAAGGATCAATTAAGATACCGTGAGGTTATATTAAAGAATTTTCAACATCAGATATGTTTAGATCATTTCCACACACCCAAAAATGGTGAAGGATTGGTTGTTTCTTCCTTAGCAAACGATAAATTGAGCAATAGATATGGTTGTATCTTATCTCCTGTGGCTGTAGCAATATCTTAAGATCAGACAGTGTTCCTCTACAAACTAGGATAATGCTAAGAGTCTAGTGATATACCATTATACCTCATTGAGGAAGCCCTGGTGAAGGGTAGTTGACATTGTCACCGACTCGAGAAAATCCACAGCATGGACAATTTCTTCTTCTGCTTCCTTCTTTGAACAGATTCCAGCTGATCACCCAATTCATGCACTAACTTACGTATATCGAATTTGAGTATTCCTCAACAGGTATATAACAAAGATGTCATACTTGAAGACACTGATGTTGCCAAAGCGATCATAGGGTTCGTTGCTGATGCTGCAATTGAAAAGCTAGTGGTTGGTTCATCATCATCAAGAGGTGGATTTGTCAGGTGATCTTAAATCACTTGAGCACTTCTACAACTAAAGTCAAAATCTGTTTGGGCTGAAAAATATGTCTTTCAACACCAACTCTATCATATTTTCCTCAGATCATTCAGAAACTCAGACATCAGTACCAATATCTACAAAGGTGTGCCTGATTTCTGTACTGTCTACCTCATCCATAAGGGGAAGGTATCCTCCGTGAAGAATGCCGTCCGGCCAGCTCCAGCCTTCTCTCTTCTCCAGAAGCAAATCCAAGGCCTTTCAAGTGTTAGACCTGACTCACTGGACCATAGTCACAAGAATGACATGAAAGGTCTGTGTTGCCATCAGTATAGGTACCATTGCAGTCTCTTCTCTTCCCCTGTTAACACAAGTTTTTTGCTACTTCTGTTCCTGAAGATCGGAATTTCCTAATGCCAAGTGAAGCTGCATTTGCTCCACGGAATCTGCAAAGAGAGGATGAATCGATCAAGTAAGAATTTCCATAAATCAAGAAAAAATTGCATATGAAATTTACCCTCCAATGCTGAACATTAGGCTTAATGCCTCAATTAGGTCACCTTTTACTAGGGGAACATGTGTTTCAACCAAAAAATCTAATGGAGAGATGATGATTGATGGCGATAAATCACTTGCCAATGCCCGCTCCTATCCTCCAAGATTGTCAAACATTTCAGACACCTATGATTGCAATTCTGAATCATCATGCTCATCTGGAAATGAGGTCGCTTCCCTATCTAGTGAGAGTCTGTCATCTCAGCCTAAGGTGAGTTTGACTACATGGGATAGTAAAGAAAAAGAGCAGTAAAGCAAAGCCAAGGCCAGCTTTCAAGTTTTCACAATCACTGGTATATAAGAAACCACTAACCAATGCCATAGCAGAATGTGAATATTACCTTTGAAATTTCAGGAAGATGTTGAAGCTAAGCTGAACAGGCTGAGATTAGAACTCAAGCAAACCATGGACATGTACAGCACAGCACGCAGAGAAGCACTGACAGCTAAACAGAAGGTAATTTATCCATTGCTGTCACAAAGATTGAACTTGTTTTCAGACGATGCCTTTGCTGCAGGCAATGGAGCTGCAACGCTGGAAGATGGAGGACGAGCCAAGATTAGAAGAAGCTCAACTGGTGAAAGAAGCGGCTAATGTTTTTGCACAAAGAGAGACTGCCGAAGCATCCAGAAAAATTGCAGTGTCAAAATCACAAAAGAACATCAGAGGAGAGGTGATTGCAGAGACTGAGAAGAATGATTTTGAAGCACTGTCACATACAAGTCTCAGTTATAGGAAGTACACAATAGAGGAGATAGAAGTAGCCACTGACCATTATGCACAGGACAGGAAAATTGGAGAAGGTGGTTATGGACCTGTTTACAGAGGTTATCTGGATCATACGCCCGTTGCCATTAAGGTTCTGCGTCCAGATGCTGCCCAAGGCAGAACGCAGTTTCAGCGAGAGGTATGAAACACATACAACAATGCTTCAAACTATCAGAACTCTGAAAATTTACAATTTACACATACATTCAGAGCAAGCACTATCTATGCAAAATGCAGCAATTAGCACATCGAGTCATATAGGTGTATATGTGTAACATTTTTATTGTATCATCTCCCATACACAGGTTGAAATATTATGCTGCATCCGACATCCAAATATGGTTCTACTGCTGGGCGCTTGCCCAGAACATGGCTGCCTTGTGTATGAGTACATGGCAAATGGAAGCTTGGAAGATTGCTTATTCAGGCGAGGGAATACACCACCCATTCCTTGGCAGCATAGATTCCGGATTGCTGCAGAGATTGGCACAGGCCTCCTCTTTCTACACCAGACTAAACCAGAGCCACTGGTTCACAGAGACCTTAAGCCTGCCAACATCCTCCTTGACAGGAATTACGTCAGCAAGATCAGCGATGTTGGACTTGCCCGGTTGGTTCCACCAACTGCAGCAGACCATACCACCCAGTATTGCATGACAGCCACTGCTGGCACATTCTGCTATATCGACCCGGAGTATCAGCAAACTGGCATGCTCGGTGTAAAGTCTGATATATACTCTCTTGGAATCATATTGTTGCAAATTATCACTAGCAAATCTCCCATGGGGTTGGCACACTATATGGAGCGTGCAATTGAGAGAGGAACGTTCACAGAGATGTTGGACCAATCAGTACCAGATTGGCCAGTTGAGGAAGCATTAAGGTTAGCCAAGTTGGCACTGAAGTGTGCAGAGCTCAGACGGAAGGATCGACCAGATCTTGCAATGGTCATACTGCCAGAACTTGACAGACTTAGAGATCTTGCTGAGGAGAACATGCAGTACTTTGTGTTTGGGAGCAACCCGCACCCCTCACTCATGCACACCCCAGTTTCTACACAAGTATGGCTCTTGTCTTTCTCCAACTCTTCTCTGTTACAATGAGCAGCAATTATCAGACTCCACTAGCATACCATGTGGATATATAGGAATGTAGTAAGCTGAGGAAGTATCCATTGAATACAATACTCTAACTAGATCAAAGGATACTAAAAAATGTGGCATCGGTTACATGCCACACAACTTTATATGCATATAATGCTATCCCAAGCAAAAGTATATTTCCAGTTCTTTAACAAATACATCAGCAAATAGGAAGAAATACTATAATTTTTTTGACCATGATCTAAACAAATATATAAAATGGACATGCAGAACACTTGTTCTCTTGAATCTTCTAAATTTCTCGCATACAAAAAAATTGAGCATCATGCATAATCAACTGAAGTAAGATAAGTTTAGATCTTCTGATTGTCATCGAGATTGTGTCCAATTATCAGATTATCATGATATGTAATGCAAGATGTCATGAAAAAGATTGTCTTCCACAAAAATTTCAGACCAACAAGTAATAGATGGCTCCCTATGATCCTTCTTTCCTTTCTTAATGTTCAGGATATCATTAATGGCTCTTCAACCACACCATCTGGATACGAAAGCTCAAGTGGATCATCAATGGCTGGAAGCAGATTGAGCATTTTCTGAGATGAAAAGAACAGTCCTGCTAGAGGTATATCTTGATAAGAAAAGTTTTTTTCCATCTAAAATGTAATTGATAGACACCAAAATCTCTCATTGTTGGATGCAGGAAATTAATGTGCTCAAGAGAACTATACTACCTGTAACTGCATATGCTTGTAGAGAAGAAATGGCAAAGAAAGCTAGTTGCAGGTCCAGGCCTAGGGAGGCTGGTGATACGATGCAAAAGTCCTGTGACACGAAGAAAGCAGATATCCTATTAAGTACCAATACCGCCTCGTGACAACACCAAGAATGTAAGATATCTAGGTCAAGATAGATTTGTTTGTGTGTCCTGTTCCCTCACCTTCTTCCTATCTTTTCCTTTTTTTCGGATCTTATGTACAATAAATATACCTAAATAGTTAAGACTAAAGATTGTGTAACTTTCTCTATTATCTGTTATCTGAGACATTTCAGGCAGTTGTGATTTTTCTGTATCTCCTTCTTGATTTCTCCTCTTTTTTGACGGAGGCTCCTCCAAATTGCCCTTCAAACCAAGAAAAGGTCAAGACTTAATAGTCGATTGTTTTAGCAGACATAATCTCTTTTGAAATGAATTTGGAGGTCTGATCACTCTTAAATTGTTGTGTTTCTTTCAAATAAGAAGCTCAGAAAAATCAATTGATAACTCCAATAGCTCAATGCAGGAAATGAAATCATTGCATCTCATGTACAACAATTTTTCACCGAGCCAGAGTTCCGACATGTGGAAATGAAATCAGACTCTGATATCCGAGGTTGATCGGAAAATTCTCCATATTCATTTTGGGTTGTTTGGTCACTGCAAGTTATACAGCTTCTACTTGTGTAATGAAACCCCCTATAAACTGCAACATTACTTGTGATCTAAAATGCTACAAGCCTGGCATGCAGGGTAGGTCACAATCCAAAAAGGAGATGCACATATCCCTCCTCCCTTTCCTTCACATGTTGCAGACATCCAACTGCTACTTACATCATTAACCATAGTCTGCAACCATTCAACATAGGCAATTCTGATTGCAGGCAAGCAGACCCCCCCCTTGATTCAACCAAAGATGGATGAAACCCTCCTACCTCCATATGCAGATGTCCCCATTTGAGATATAAAGCATTCTGATGATTATTAGATACATAAATGCATCTATTGCCTGCATCTGCAACCCTCGATTCCAACAAAGATGGATGAAACTCTCCTACCTCCATATGCAAAATTGGAACTCTTTGAGATGATACTCTAACAAAAGCATTCTCATGATGATTAGATGGAAAGCAAGAACATACCTGAAACACTGGCCAAATAACCTAAACCCAGCAGCCTTCCTCTGCAGATCTCTGATTAGAAGATACAAATATTCTCCTAATCTCCCCAGAAATCTGCCTTCTCTGTCAGCTACATAATCTTACAGACCAATTTTAGGAATTCCAACAGTAGATTTTGGCCTCTGTATTGGAGTCATTCCATCATTTTGCAGATATGTAACTTAAGGAATATTAAGGGTTAAAACAAAGTTATAAATAGTAAAAAAGATTCAGTACAAATCTCTTAAATATATCCCTTACTTCTTCCTTCTGTTAATAATGGTGATTGAGAGAGAGAGAGAGAGTAGTAATGTTTGAACAGATTGGCTAATTAAACTATTAACTCAACCACTCAACCCTTCTTTTAGTTTTCTTTCTTTGATGCCAAGACATCGTCAACTTGTGGCCGAAGAAACAATTGGAGACATGAAATGACAGGATAAAACATACGACAAGCAATGACAAGACGAGGCTACTGTGCGATAAATGCATGCTAACTAACGAGTGGTCGATCACCGCCCAACACGAAGGGTCCACGAATCGTGATGAAGGTACGGGCCGGATCAGGCGGTCGAGGACACGCGAGGCGCATGCTATCGTGTGGTGAATTAGCACGTACAGTAACTACGTTGCTTTTCGAGCTATAAATGTCATTTTTTAGCTTTGTACAATGGGGAAATTTATTTTGTAAACCTGAGAATTAAATGCATTCTATAGTTGAATAAATATTAATGATAGAACAAAATAAATATTTTGATTTATGGATTTAGATGTAATAAGCCGTGAAGATTGATTCAATCTTAAGTTTTGAGTTTTCATCCCTTTCTAAATGAATCAGGTCATCAAACTAATATTTTAGATTTAAAATTTAGTAAATAATATTTTAAATCATTAGGTATAATATTATTATAAAATTAATGCATCATAAAGAAAAAAAAGAGAAAAATCATTTAATAAGATGTTAAAATAAATGCTATAATTAGAAATTTTGAGACAATTAATTTTATTAATATAAATCATAAATAGTAATTTAAATATTTTTTAATTTGGCCAAAAATAATGTCTTGCATATATCAATGACGAGAAAAATTCCATGCAATCGATGTCAAAATATTTTTCTAATTGAATTGAATCTTAAATTATAATTAAAAATATATTTGATCCCATTCCCTTTTCTTTAATGTCAAGGAAATATAGGGGTAATTTAAAGGTATACAACCTTTTCGCAAACACTTGAACGACTTCCCCTCGCGTTCACTCGCTACCGGCGCGTCAATCGATCTCATCTTTCTCTATAAAAGGGGGTTGGTTTTAGATCCAGGCGGACATCGGCTTCCGCGGGCGAGGATGGTGGCTTCTTCGTGGCCGTCGCTGGATGAGGTAAACCCCCTACGTAAACCGATGACGGAGCGATCGAACTCTCGTTGTTTTGTGAATTTATTCCGGTTGGTCGTGTTTTTGAGCGGTGTGGTGATATTGTTTTGGTTTCATACGTGTTGTTCGGTACTCAGCTCGATGCGGTGAGGAACAAGGTGGCCGATATGAGTGGCGCGGATGTTAGGGATGTGAGGGTTGTGGTTTCGCCATATCGGATTTGCCCTCTCGGTGCCCACATTGATCATCAGGTTTGTTTCCGTTGTTTCTCGCCTCATTTTGTTGATCGATTTCTATGTTGAAATAGATTAAGCAGCGGTAGAGCTTTAATGGATAATGGTTGTAGACAATATATTTCATAATACATGTGGAATCGGTCAACAAATATTGCCGTAGACGATCAAGTTTCTTTTCCCTGAGATGTGACCGCTCCCTGCATTTAAGGCAGGTTTCTTGGATTTGGTGTTCATGTGCTTTCTTTTTATTGTATGTGGTGGGAAGATGGCTTAGACGAGGGAGTTAACATTCCGGGAGTGTCTTCTAGGTCAGGTCATGGATGCTAAATTTTGGAAAGTCAATTTTGGCGATCAATTGCATGAGTCCAGGATTCTTTGGTTATTGATTTTGAGCCACCTGAGAATTGTAGGATTGTTGGACCGGGGACAGTTGAGTGTTTTGTATTATGCTATCACGTGAGGCCATCGTTGAGCTTTCTGGCTTGTGTTTGAAATGGTAGTTGGTTCATGGTTGTACTCAGTCTTCATGAAGATTGAGTTGCGGCTGATAAGTGTTCCATGGAGGATCTGGAGGTGAGTTCGGCATCTCAAGTTCAGATTCATCCTCCCAATAGTTCCCCAGGTCCAAGTTTAAATCGTACCTCATGGACTTCACCATCCTCCTCCTGGTCTTGCTTCATCTAGTATTGAGGACCACTTGATTTGGAGACTGCTTCATCAAGTGT